ATCGGTGCACAGAAAAAGCTTCTTTGGCTGCTTTAATCCTGCAGTATCTCTTTCGCATGCGTCATGACCAAAGCGATGTCATGCCCACTCCGGCCATACACGAATGCGTAGACCGCGAGGTGCTGGCGCGCGATTAGACCTTAGGGTGAGAAAGGGTCCGTTGGCCTTATTTATCTTCCTCATCATCAGCACCATCGCCCTCTACATCACTGGTCGGCGGGGTGGTGTCCACAGTGGCTCCATGGAAGCTGTCTTTGGTGTTGACGTAGGTGTTAGCGTCGAGAGGTCGGAGAGATCGAGATGGCGAATTAAAGCGGAGCTCAGCGCTGTGTTGATGCCGATGATCTCATCAGCATTACCACAATCGGTGGATGACTTGAGCATAGTAGCCATGGGTGCTGGCACGATGCCCGCATGGCTGCCGCTATACCAAGAATTTTTATAAAATGAGGTTGCCGGGTCGACTACTTTTATAAGTATACTGGATATTACGGCAACAAGGCACGGACTATCATCGTGATACTTAAAAAGGGTTCTAGCAAATGCTGGACTGAGGTAAAAGATGCAGTCTCGAAGGCTGTAAAAAAGATAGCCTCATTTCTTCCACCAATTCTGCCTCCACTGAATCAGAGCGAACCCTTGCAAGTCGACTGTGAAGCCTTGGTTGTCACCATAGGTTGTGCTTCACTTCAAGCAGATGCCAGTGGGTATAACGCATATTGCTTTCGAGCCTCGCAAGCGTAAAGCAGTAAAGAAGGACTTTCTATTTCATGACAAAGTGTGATTTTCTGTGAAAAATACATTTGTCAAGATCAGTGTACACCCGATTGGCCGAGAAACAATTACGATATGTGCATATTACACGTCCTTGCGCTCAGCGTTGTTGGTACCTTATTTCACGATCTTACGCAGAGAGAGGCAAGCTGGATATTTTACTTTGCCTCGTATACTTTAAGTGAAAATTCTGCTGGATAGACAAAATGCGGTGGTGGATGCTTTACATTACCGCCCAGATGATGCGCTGTCGTATGTCATGATGGTGACGTCACCCATCGACGTCGTGATGCGCACTGTGTATGTGCCTGATGCAAAATTTGTTGGACTGTTGGAATTTTAGATCGCAAAAAAGTTTCAGGTTCAAATGTCGCTACATCGTAATATTTGGTCGCACGGTATCACTTCTATTCTTTATCTCAAGTCGTACACATAATTTCTTGACAATCTAAGCACAAAATACTGTACAACCCACAATTTAATCCAAGGGTTGTTGGCTCGGCAGAAAAGAGACATATGGTCCAGTGAGCACTACTTATTGTCTTCGCGTGTAGATTGTGTTAATGGGCATACCTGTCTTCTGAAATTTCTTCTTCATTTTGATGTTGCCAAAATCAATGAGGTTTCTCGCCCTCGATTAGGCGCTAAATCTTCTCGTCAACTTGCAAAGTTGCGCTGGATGTATGTCAGCTCGAAATGCGTGACTAATCTAGGAATGTTTCGAGTAATTGCTTGATGAGATTAACATGAGCAGAATATGCGTAAGCCTTCTTCAAAAGCGGCTTAAGCTGAGCTTATGTTTCGACCGCAAAATTCTTGCATTGGTTGAGGAGCTCAAATCACCAATCGCCGTGAAACATGCCCTGGGAGACAGTGCAAATGTCGCACACCGACGATATAATGAAGATTATTTGCTATTTAAGTTAACGAACCATACGTATGACTATTACAACCAGCTTAATTCGAGATTATACAGATGATAATCGTTATTACCTGTTAGCCTCAGATATTTGAGGAACCCTTCGCATTGATCTCACGGACCGCAACAGCAGTCGAGAGCTCAGTACATAAAAGCTTTTCGGCGGTCACACTAATGAGATGTATAGATACTTCGGTAACTTGGATGGCAAGTCCACGACAAGCGACCATTCTATCGCTAAATATATATATGGAGTTACGCATAATCGTCACAAGGATGATAGCCATAAAGAAACAATGACTCGGTCGGCCGTACAACCATCAGGATTTTTGGTCGGAATTATTTCTAAGCAAACAGAGGATAAATTTCCCAGAAGCAAGTTGAATTTCGATGTAATGTTTTGATTAAAATTGTCGCCCTAAAAGCATTTATTCTGCTTCTGAGATGATGCGCAGCATAACCTCTGTATTATTTTGTTCGTTTGCACCTTGTTCATTGCTCTTGACCTGGTAAAAAGTATTTTTAACTACTCAGAAGAGAGAGTTTTATTCCTCTCATTAAAGTCAGTACTTCAAGCAGGATACCGTTTGAGTGGCTGGTATTGCCATAGAGACTATCTAACACACCAGCGCTGTCCAATCGCCTGGTGACGCGGCAGTTTAAGCCACACGAATTCTATGCCCAGGATATTACAGCGATATACCCGCTCAGAATCATGTGAAACACGGCGAACCAAATACTCTCGCCGCATGCATCAGCGCCTTGGCCAACCTGCCAGTTCCGGCTGTATCATCCTTAGGACTTAAAGCAAGGCAAATAAGTACTAGTTTAAGTATCATGATGAAGTATTGTGGTACGTATAGTTACAGATAAGGGTGATTTGACTCCGAAAGGGGGTTCGTGGGACACGTTGACCGCTGGTCCCAATATGCAGTTGAAAGGATTTAGTCTTCCTGTTACGTGAAAAAAGTAAGCAATCGTTTCATATCACAAAGTCAACGCTAACGTCAACGCACGTGTAGTCGATTGATATACATTTACTCCTTGCTGATAGAATGAGCTTTGATAAGCAATTTTACATGAATGCGCCTTCCTAGCGTATCATGCACTAATAGAATGATGTTGTCCATAGATCTTTTTGTGATTTACAAGTGAGCCATGTACATCAATATTGATGGCGATCCGCAGTCGTTTGGATTGCTTCACACAATTAGACAGGAGACATTCCGGGATTTATTGCTTTGTACGTATAATGATAATACTATAGGATGTTATGTAAAACTCAGGTAAGAAAACTTGCGCAACAATGGTTGCACTTTCATGACTTATTCTTTTAAGCAGACATATATCTGTTGTATAAGCTTATCGAAGTCTCACCTTTTACTAGCTACCCAGCTTGTCGACTCTAGGCTACTCAGTGGGACCAAAAATGCCAAAATGTCTAGTCGTCCGCCGCAAAACACCCGCGACGAAGTGGCCAAACCAGCTACTGCAAGAAGTCTATTACACTAAATTTAGTCTCGCTTCTAAAAGTGTCTGTGGTAGCACTTGTCGCACTAATTTTAAACCTCGGTGGTAGTTTCATATATCCTCAAGCCGTTCACTCCTTCTTAGTTCTCCCCCTAATGTTTGCAATTTGAAGACGGTTCGTGGTTCTTAGGCTTCTTTTACCATTTAACATTCGGGAAGGGTACCGATGGTACCAAATTCGGCAGCAAGTCCTCGTCCAGTGCCTCTAATTCTTCATCGATTAGTTTGTGTGCCTGAAGCATATTAAACGCATTTGTACATGCAAGTCTCTCAGTTCCAGGGATATCCTCTATGATTCGACGCTGATTAATGCAAAAGGTTTTTGTTAACAAAAAGAATTGTGAATTACCAATCAGTAGTGCCAAGATTGGAGAACACGATTTCCTTGTAACGATAATTTTAGGTATCGTCATCATATCGGCGCATGATTCACTGGCAAGGCAAATGTTGTCGTGCACCTGTTAGTAAGAAGTGCGGGGCGATCGGCTGCGCTAACATTTATGTAGACTTTGACTTTGTTGTTTAAAGTGAGTATACTATCTTTCCCCGCACGATGACAGGGCACGATGTCAGGGTGTATCATTTAACTAAACAATGCGTAGGTGGGTTATCTCCCGCAGCTCATTGAAAAGCAAACTTGTGTTAGAGGCACTTAGTTCCGCTCCTATGTGGAGCTTACGAACCCATCCTATGTGCTTCTTTTGACGCGCACTGGTAGAATCAAAACTTCATCTGTACTGCAACCCTGTTGCTGCGCTACAACCTAATATATTTTGTGCAGCAACGTTGAATGGTGAGCAATAGGCAATTTAAACGTTTCGTCTCTTGTCACTCAGCAATGCACTTAATTGTCTCTAGTGGAGTGCTAGATTAAGATTTGCTTATGATACTACTGTCGTCCCTCTGATAACTAATAAATGCGGTGGAAAATCATCTATGAGTTATTACACGTACACTAAAATTCCACCAGCACGTTTAACAAATGCGCAGGGGCTCGAGGTCTGCTATCAAAATGCAAATTAAAAAACAATGGATGAGTCAAAATGCGCTTGCTACATGGGCTACCTAGAAGTTTGACGTTGGAATCACTCAATCTGCTATCAGTAACATCCTCAAAAAGAGTCGCGATCTCGAGGCCATAGCAGACGTTGAGCTTTTGGTCAAACGGCCCCGCGCATTGCACATCACCCGCAACTCGATGAAGCCTTGGCAACATGGGTGCTTCAATGCTAGACAACGCATGTAGCCATCACTGGAGATCTCATCAAAACCAAAGCAAACGTCTTTGCTTACCGACTTGGCTTGAGCGAGGATGCAAGCAAATATTCCAATGGAGAACTGCAACGCTTTCAAGATAGGAACAAGCCGCGTTGCATTATAATCCATGGTGAGAGTGGTGCAGTAGATCAGGCAGCAATCGATGCTGCCCTTCGTGTGCGTTTGGCAGTCATTGCTTGGTATGAGCTGAAGGCTGTGTTCGACATGGATAAAACAGGTATGAATGTTACACGGGAGTTCTTTTATTAGTGTTTGCGTAGGTTTGTTATATCCCATGGTTCCAGAAAAGCCCATTGCACAACAGCAGATTGAGACGTAAACGAGACAAAGTAAAAAAATGCATATAAATTTGGTCTTTTATATGAAAAGGTTGACTAGACTACCATTCTCTCTTCTGCATCATCGAACCGCATCACTATTGCCTTTGCTGCCAACGCAGATGAGTCAGAGAAGCTCAAGACATTGTTCATTGGAAAGTACAAAAAGTCCCGCTGTCTCAATCGTAAGACAGGAGAGCATCTCAGTTCCTATAATCGCTGCAATTAGAAAGCGTGGATGACCGGCGCCATCTTTTAGGATTGGCTGGAAAGGTTTGACAACGACATGAAGGTACAATATGTAAGCGTTTTAGGTGTGCTCTCGACCATTTCAATCACTGTTCCTTTAGGCCAAAGATAGGTGGGGGTTTTATACTAGAAAACGCCACTTCTTACATAATCGACGATTACGAGGTGGTCTTCCTCACTCCAAACTGCACGTCTAAGATCCAGCCCATGGATGCTGGGATCATGTCCGCGTTCTAGCGACGTTACAGACGATATCATCTTCAAAATGCCGTTTATCGTGACGATCGAGGTGAAACCGACATCTATAAAATCGATCAGCTAACCGCAATGAAATGGAGCAAAGTAGCTTTGGAGGAGATATCAGTAGCTACCGTGGCCAATTGTTTTCGCCAAACTGGTCTCTTTGCAAGGCCTCCTCAAATATCGGTGTTTCAATATGGAGGAGCAATACATTGAAATCGACCTGTGGGACACTATCCAAAGCTTCCTTTTAATAATCCCATGGCTGTTAAAGAGCTTTGAGTCCAGTGATGGAGGATTACACAGCCAATCTGGAGATGAATGACGACGAGATTATAGCTATGGTTCAGTAGGCGGAAGAAGAGGGAGAATGACGATCAAGAAAACGAAGATGTGGAAAAGCAGAGAGTCACGAATCGGGAAAAGTTAAAGAGCCTAGCAATTACTGCTTCACTGCTGGATGTGACGGATTTCACAGATAGAGTGTACTCAGGCGCATTCGGGAACTGCAGAAATCTTTTAAAACGACGGCGACAGTCCAGACTACTATCAGTGCGTGCATTGACTTCTACGTCAATAAAATTCATGTTTGTAAAAAATGTTAATAAATGCAGTACCTAAACGGAAATACCCGAAACGAGCGAGTTAGGCAATGCGCTATATACTTGGGTAACTCAATAATTGGCTACTATTTTACCAGTTATGCGTTATTACTTGGCTACATATTGGTGGAACACTCTTTTATTAATAATACGACACCCGGATATGAGTTATCCGAGGGACGACTGTACTATTATTGCAGGTTCTTGTTCTTATTACATATTATTTTAGCCTTAAAATGTCTGAAGACTCAGCATTGACGCAATTAATCACATGACATCACGCCCGCGCCATACCTGACGTGCATCGCGTGCGAGCCACTCACCGCTGCGCATTCGTCACTTGCAAATTCTCCGTTTGGACGCCAACAAGCACATCACAATCTTTCTTAAACCTACTATGGCAATCCTGCACCCGGAAGCCGAGTCAGCTGCTAAGATAGCTTCGCTGTCCGAAGCTAAGCAGCGTGAGCTCGCTGAAGCTGGCTACAAGCATGTAGTGGGTGCTCCAGCGCCGCTACCGCTAGATCTACCTCACTTTTCGCTCCGCGACTTGCGAGCTGCCGTTCCCTCACACTGTTTCGAACGCTCTTTCATCAAGTCCACGTACTATCTCATCAAGAACCTGTTTACGTGCGCGGTGCTCTTCTACATAGCCACATACATCGACCGAACAGGATACTTTGCCTACATACTCTGGCCTGCGTACTGGTTCTTTCAAGGAAGTTACCTAACCGGTATTTGGGTCGTCGCACACGAGTGTGGACATCAGTCTTATTGCTCCATTGAAGTCGTAAACAACGTAATTGGTCTCGTACTGCACTCGGCGTTACTCGTGCCGTACCACAGCTGGCGTATTTCACACCGTAAACATCACTCGAACACCGGAAGTTGCGAGCACGATGAGGTTTTCGTTCCCGTCACGCGCTCCGCGATTGCTAGTTCGTGGAATGAGACGCTCGAAGACTCTCCACTCTATCAACTCTATCGCATTGTTTACATGTTGGTCGTGGGTTGGATGCCTGGGTATCTCTTCTTTAACGCGACAGGACCGGCCAAGTACTGGGGTAAAGCTCGCAGCCACTTCAACCCAAATTCGGCCATCTACTCAGACCGTGAGCGTTGGATGATTATCCTTAGTGACATCTCTCTCGTGTTCATGATTGGTGTGATAGCGGCATTGATTCACACTTTTTCATTTTACACGATTTTGAAATTCTACGGCGTACCCTACATTGTCGTGAATGCCTACCTCGTGCTCATTACATTCCTGCAACACACAGATACATACATCCCCCACTTTCGACAGGGTGAATGGAATTGGCTGCGCGGCGCCCTTTGCACAGTAGATCGCTCCTTTGGCTCGTATCTTGATTCGGTTGTTCACCATATCGTGGACACGCACGTGTGCCACCACATTTTCTCCAAAATGCCGTTCTACCACTGCGAAGAGGCCACCAACGCATTAAAGCCGCTACTAGGCAAATTCTACTTGAAGGACACCACGCCCGTGCCCACTGCGCTGTGGCGTTCTTATACTCACTGTAAGTTTGTCGAGGACAACGGTGCTGTTGTCTTTTACAAGTGCAACATTTGAAGCCACGTGTTGCTTTTATAACTCATGTATTCGAAAACGAGCTGCCGTAAATAATTCAGGCAGTAAATAACTACGACGTCAAATAATATAGACTGATTGGTCTGCACTTGCGTCTGCGCACTTTTGGGAATGAAAAATGCTCTTATGTTTGAATTTTTAGACTACAAAAGGCAGAAGGACTTCTCTTTGTCCTCCAGATGTCATAATTTGAATTGTAGAGCTGTACAAACTTTTTCGCGACCTATTCATAGGCTCTTACATGCCATATGCGCCAGTATCCTCCTACTGCCCTTCACTCCAGTTGCAAGCACTCTGTAGATGATGTTTGGCTTTCATTTTTCAACATCACTCTACAGACTAAACAACATGAGGACTAAAAGCACTGTACGCTACCCCACGGCTCTAAGCATTTTAGGCAAAGTCAGACTTTTCTTTTTTACAATCGAGGTTAGCTAGTCTTCAATGCTAAAAGGAATCAATGGTTGAATGATCTGCATCTTGCGTATCGTTCGGGCTAATGTTAATTTGTATTAGTCGAACCAGCGGTCTGCAGGTTTAGCCTTGTCGTCCATCCTCACCGCACTCAACTCTCCGAAAATCTCATTCTTGTAGCTCTGCACCAATTCGTCGAAAGATTTCTCTTTCTCGAGATCCTTTGCGTGTTTACGCTGATTGCGAGACAGAGTCTTGCCCTTCTTTGCCAAATGATTGCTTTCTAGTGATGCTAAAACGTCAACCTCTGCATCGCCATATGAGAATTCAGCGCGTTTCCTTTTCGACTGCAACTTCACCTCCTTGACTTTGATTTCCTTTTTCGACTTGTTTGCATCGATCGAAACTTCAGCCTTAGCTTCTGCTTTTACCTGTACGCAAAGTTTCTTTTTCTCACGCTGCCGCTGCCCTCGACTTTTTTTCAACTTGTCAGCGTCTTTACTACCTACGCCTTGTGCTTCCTTCAATAGTCGCTCTTCCTCGCGTTTCTTCGCAGCATCAACAGCGCGCTTCTCACGCAATTTCAATTTACCATGGTTTTCAAGAGCAAATTCTACGATGAGGCGGGATTTTGAGCTGTCCGGTGCACCAGCAGTTGTCACGCGACCAGCAGCGTATGAAGTATACTTTGGATTATTGTTCAGCACCCGAAGAGCAGCCAGTGCGTGAACATGCTCTGAAAATTCGACAAATCCATACCCACGAGAACGCGCCTCTTTTCCTGCTTTTACCGCTTCCATGTCACGCACTACCTTAGCCATACGGACTTTTACCGGAGGATTTCCCTTTGACGCTAACTCTGGTTTGATGTCGGAAAGGCTGACATTGCCAGCACGTACACCAGCCGTAGCAGCATCGTGAAAGAGCTTCTTTAGCGAACGGTCATCCAGCTCAATGGACAAATTACGTACTGAAAGACGCAAGGGTGACACAAAGTACATGGGATTCTGAAGCTTCAGCTTCTTTTCTCGGATCGCGCGTCGGCGCTTGTCAATGTCCATCTTGGGCAGCTCAAGCTCAGCGTCCGACACCTTGTTAACGTTCAGTGTGCCTTCATAAGCTAGATAGAGATTCCGCTTATCAAGACGGCGGCGTTCACGAGCATTTGAATCGGTCAAATGCTCGGCATCGGTCTTCGAAACAGCCCTTGATAATATCAATTGACGTCCATCAAGAGTCAAGGCATCATCGCAACTATTTGCCAGCACAGACAACGTCAAGACTTTGGCTTTTTTTTCTTTCTTATGCTTTTTCGTTTCATCGACATGCAGCTGCTCTCCACGCTTTAGAACGTTCGACGCCACCTCAACGGATTTAAAACGAACAAACCCCACTCCCTTGGACAGACCGGAACCCTTGTCATGTACCACACGCGCATACTCTACCGCTCCAAATTTTTGAAAGAACTCACGCAGTCCGTCTTCAGACGTTTGAAAAGAGACGTTTCGAATAAATAGCGTGCGCTCCCGTTGAGCCTCAGTGTCTTCCTTACTAAGAAGAGCAAGATCTTCCTTCTCCGTTTCGATGCCCGAATCATCCGACGTCGCGTCTTCTTCATCGTCTTTGGCCATAACAAGCTTATCGTCATCATCATTACCACTATTCGTCTCTTCTACGTATTCATCCAGACCGCTTTCTGTCTTCTTCTCTAGCTTTTTTTGCTGGTCCGTATACTTTTGTTTCGACAATGCAAAATCAACAATCATTTCACGGCCTTTAAGCTTAGTCCCATTGAGGTTTTCAACAGCCGCACGCGCGTCTGCCACGTCGCGGTACTGGACGAAACCAAATCCACGGCTTCGATCTGGCACATTCTCAATAGTTGTCTCTTCATCGTCTCTCTGTCTCCTCTTCTGGTCCAATTCTACTGGCATACGTACGATGCGGACTTCGAACAGTGGCCCATACACCTTAAATAGGTTTTCCAAATCGTTTTCAGATGTTTGGAAAGCCAAATTTCGAACAATCAAGCGTAATCCTTCTGCTTCGGCCCCGCCTCTTAATTTTCTAGGGAATTCTGTACTATTTTGATCATCAATCACAACGGTTGTGGCTGCACTCTTCACTTGCAGGATTGACCCTTTAAAAATGTGGCAGTCCAACTTTGAGATCGCTAAAGCCGCTTCCTTTGTCGTCTGAAATTGTACCAAAGCATACGTCTTGCCGCTTCGAGCTTCCTGCTTTAACTCAACCTTTTCTACGCTACCGATCTTCTTCATCTTTTTCAGCACATGCTTCTTAGTCACATGAGCACCGAAGCCGAATATCAAGACTGACTTTTGCTGCACAGCAGCCTCCTCTTCTTTACGACGCTCCAAGTTGCGCAAAAATTCTCGATGCTGTCGGCGGCGCACATTGCGTTCGCTTTGTTTGTGACCGATAGTAGGTTTATCAGCGGAGACCGCCATAGTCTCTACCCTGGGTTCTACTTTCACTTTTACTGCCTTGACTTCACCTTCATCTTCGACCTTCTCAAACTCATTCTGATCTTTGGCATCTTCCTTCTCTAAAATTTTAGACGTTGAAGTGTGAGGCTTCATCTTCACAGCTTCTTGCTCTTGTTCTATTTCCTTTTTCTCTGTCGTCGCAATGTGCTCGTCTTTGTTTAAGCCCTCCTTCTCCTGCGCTTTCTGCTCGTTCTCGACAGGAGTAGATGCTGCACGACGCTTCCCCTTTTCCATGGCATAATCTGCCAGCGTTATAATAGTTTCAGTAGCTATTCATTACGGCATCAGCTAAACAACGCACCGATGAGCATTTTCCGGCCCTGAAAATTGGTTCTGTTAAGTTTTACAACGGCCGCGGCCGCATCGCTTTCCACGGCACTATATCAGCAATAAATAATTGTTGGATTGTTTACTATACTTCATTATGCTACTTGGCGCAGCTCTACGTACAACTTCACGAAGGCGAACCCGCGCGTAAGCATCTCGCTCTTGCGTTTCCCTTTGTCCTTGATAACATCGATCTTCTTGACAGGACCAATTTCGCTAAAAACATGCTCCAGCTCTTCTTGCGTAACACCATACGGCAAGTTGCGTACAAACACGGTGGCCATTGACTTTTATCCTGTTCTATTCCGGCAACCAGTGGCCATCAACATCAATTTTACAAATTATTTGTGTTATTTGAATTTTATTCAAAAATCATATTAAACCAACTACTACCCAACGGCCGGCTTGTACGCCGATGAAGCGACGCCCAGGATTGCAGCCATTTCTTCTGCGCTATAGCTCTTAGCATCTTTGTTGGTTTGCCTCCTACGATAATGTAGCCGTCGTGAGATTGTAGTCTTTTCAATGCCCACTTTTTTTCTCTTTTTGCTCTTTTTGCTCTTTTTGCTCGTCTTGCTCTCATCCTCGCTCTTCACTTTCTTCGCCTTCTTTGCCTTCTTCTTCTCAGATTTTTGTCGTTTCTTGCCAAAGCAAGTATCGCTGCTATCACTCTCATCTAGACGGTCAACTTCAGGACAGGTCTTACAACTATACGAATTGTTGAGCGCATTGAGCACATCCGCGAAACCTCCCGCCGTCTCAGCCCAACCTTGCACCTCCGCCTGCTTGAGACTGCATCCCACACCCAAATTCTCGGAGCGACGTGCAACCTTGACGTGTGTGGCCTGACCTTGCAGGTGTTTTCCGACGCCTTTGCCAGCGGACCACCCCATTTTGACAAGCATTTTAAAGCCAAACTTGGAAGTATCCGAAGCCCATGCCATATTTTGCATTCCTCCCACAGCTACCATCGTCTGTCCGGCGTTATCTGTCCTTGCAGAATCCGAGGAAATAACGTTCACAGCACGCATAGCGTAAGCCATTCAATGTACAGTGAAAATGGATGCACGATTTTTTCGCACATTTCTTGGAATTATTTTTCTTTTATCAGGCGATATCTCTAAAATTCAGGTATAAGCATAAAAACTTTTGAGTATAGTATATAGCTAGCTCCATATGGATTTTTGGTATAGCATTTGAACGGGCAGAAATAGCAAGAGCTGAAATGCGAAAACACTTGCTCGTTTGTACAAAGTTTAGATTGGATAAATGATTCAATCGCCACGAGAGATCGAGTGTATTCATAGTT